TCGAGCGTCTCCACCGAGACTGCTGTCAGCGGCAAGCTGTTACCGGAGGAGGACATGATCATTAAGCTTTGGACTCTGCAGCAGACCCTCACTGGCGTGGGCTTTCCTGAAGAGCGTGTGCAGGCCGTCATGCGCCACATCCTTGACATCGCGCCCAATATACCATCAACCGCCAAAGACAGCCTCTGGGGTCTCGAGGAAGCCCTCGACTGGATGGCGAGGGAGTGCCCGAGCGATGAGTTGCCTGACTATGAAGGTCGAGGCAAACAGGGAACCAGACAATTAGGTGAGACCGAGACGTTTGTGCCGTGACAGCCGAAGCTAAACTGTTGCCCTTTTAGACACCCCGGCGGAGAGTCCTCTGCCCTCGGGGGCAACCACCCCCAGGGCCTCTGAGCCCGGCGGTCGCCAAAAGGGCGGACAAAGGTCCAAAAACGGTGGTTCTGCTACTTCCAAGAAGAAGGCTGTCGTGACTTGCGACAGTGACATTGAGCCGGACGACCTGGTCCCAGTCTACCTCGAAACGAAGGCCAAGCTGTTCGAACTCGAGAGAAGCCAGCAAGGCAAGAAGAAGCAAAGGAACGGGGACCCTGGATCAGATGAAGGGGCGGAAGCACTGGACAAGCTTCGCGCAAAGATTGACAGAATCGACAAGGATGTCTTGTTCGACAAGTTCGCTGCCGAGCAGCAGTGGAGGACACAGAAGGTGGCCTTGGAGAAGGAGATTGCAGCCGCCAGAAAGCAGAAGTCGCTTGAAGAGGCTCAGAAAGAGGCAGAAAGGAAGACAGAGGAGCCAGTCGCTTCTTCTGATGGGGACATCAACGACGAGGCTGAACGCATTGCCGCCGAGATTCTTGCGCAGGGCGAGGACGACGAGGATGGCGGTCTCAGTGATCTATTCGCCAATCTGCCTGTCACCGAGGTCGATGCCGCAGGCAAATCAAGCACCGTGTTGAACGGCGCAGACGGCGTCAAAATAACGATCCGGGACTTTGGAAAATGGACAGGCGTCAGTCCCATGCGAGCGTTGGAAGAGGCTTGCAGAGCGAGGTTAGTCATTGATATACTATATCCAGTCCTCCTGCTAACCTGACTCCAGAGACCCTGCCGTTAAGGTTACATATCGCCTCATCTCCGAAGTACCGTTCGCCAATCGTCATGCTGTCTCCATCTCATGGTCCAGGTCTCAGGAGACACCGCCGCCGTCTCAGGACGACAGCGTGGAAGTAGGGACCTATCCATCCCTCTTCAACTTCACCATGAAGACCGTTGCCACCCCCGACAGTAAACAGTCGGAAGCTTACGTTGCGACTTGGGCTTTGTTCCACATCTTTGGCACCTCGGCCAAGGAAGAAAAGGTCGGGATGAGACTTCCCGTTGCCTGGCGTGATCTATGGGATGAACTGGCAGAGGCCCGAAAGAGCCAGCTTGACGCAAAGGATCGGGAGGCGATTCGAGAGCTGCGGGCTCTTGTGCGTCAGAGACAGGATCAGGAGCTTGAGGACGGCGTTATCCTTCAAAGCGCTTTCAAAGGGAGGGGTACAGCGCGCAACCAAAACGAAAAGGGAGACGAATCGTCTCAGGAGGCTGCCAAGCGACTCTCTGGCGGCCCCGAGTACTACCAGAACATTTGGGCCCAGAAGACCAACTCTCCCAGATACCAGGCTATGCTCCAGGGTCGCATGCAGCTTCCCATGTGGAACTTCAAGCAGCAGGTCACGGACGCTGTTGACAGAGAACAAGTCGTGATTGTGTGCGGAGAGACTGGGTGCGGAAAAAGCACTCAGGTACCAGCTTTTCTGCTCGAGCATCAACTGACCCAGGGCAAGCCGTGCAAGATCTACTGCACTGAGCCGCGCCGAATCTCAGCCATTTCTTTGGCCCGCAGAGTCAGCGAAGAGCTTGGGGAGGGCCGAGGCGATTTGGGAACTTCTAGGTCTCTGGTGGGATACTCTATCCGCCTTGAGGCCAATACCTCCCGAGAGACGCGCCTGGTATTTGCAACCACGGGCATCGTCATGAGAATGCTGGAAGGCTCCAACGACCTGCGAGAGGTAACACATTTGGTTCTCGACGAGGTTCATGAGAGGTCCATCGACAGTGATTTCCTGCTCATCATTCTGAAGAAGCTCATGTTGAGACGCAAGGATTTGAAGGTGGTGCTCATGTCAGCCACGGTTGATGCCGAGCGGTTCTCCAAGTACCTTGGCGGAGCACCAGTTCTGACGGTCCCTGGTCGGACGTTCCCTGTTCAGGTCCGCTACTTGGAGGATGCCATCGAAGCAACCGGCTACACCGTCGGCCAGGCCTCTCAGGAAAAGATGGTTGATCTCGACGACGATGTGGTCGAGACGGAAGTCGAAAGGCCCAAGTCTATTGCTGGGGCCGACCTTTCTGCCTATTCCGCCAAGACTAGGAACAGTCTGGCCCAAATGGATGAGTACCGGATTGACTTTGACTTGATCGTCCAGCTGATTGCCAAGATCGCTTCCGATTCCGAGTACGTGGCGTACAGCAAAGCGATTCTGGTGTTTTTGCCCGGTATCGCCGAGATTCGAACTCTCAACGACCTCCTTTCCGGAGATCCTTCCTTTGCGCGCGATTGGCTTATTTATCCTCTCCATTCAACCATCGCAACTGAGGATCAGGAGGCCGCTTTTCTGGTTCCGCCCCCCGGGATGCGGAAGATCGTGTTGGCGACCAACATTGCGGAGACTGGCATCACCATCCCGGACGTGACTTGCGTCATCGACACGGGTAAGCATCGCGAAATGAGATTCGACGAACGAAGACAGCTTTCCCGACTCATCGACACCTTCATCTCCCGCGCCAACGCCAAGCAGCGTCGCGGACGTGCTGGACGTGTCCAGGAGGGACTTTGCTTCCACTTGTTTACGAAGCACAGGCACGACACCATCATGAGCGACCAGCAGACTCCCGAAATGTTGCGTCTCTCACTCCAAGATCTGGCCATCCGAGTCAAGATTTGTAAGATCGGCGGCATCGAAGAGACACTGAGCGAGGCATTGGACCCCCCTTCGGCCAAGAACATCCGCCGCGCCGTAGATGCGCTCATTGACGTCCGGGCTCTGACCCCTGCCGAGGATCTAACGCCGCTTGGCAATCAACTTGCCAGACTGCCTTTGGACGTGTTCCTGGGCAAGTTGATCCTGATGGGTGCAATCTTCAAGTGCTTGGATATGGCCATCACCGTAGCGGCCATCCTCTCATCCAAGTCGCCCTTCACTGCACCGTTTGGACAGCGGGCGCAGGCCGACCTTGTGCGCAAGGGTTTCCGTAGAGGCGACTCGGATCTGTTGACTGTGTACAACGCGTATCTCTCATGGAAGCGCGTGTGCCAGTCGACCAGCGCATCCGGCGGCAAGGACTTTCAGTTTTGTCGAAAGAACTTCCTTAGCCAGCAGACACTGGCCAACATCGAAGACCTCAAGGGCCAACTCCTAGTTTCGGTAGCAGACTCAGGGTTTCTCTTGCTAACTGATGACGAGAGGAGAGCCCTCAACCGGTTGCGGTATGGCGCCAACTCGAGAGGAAGACGCCATCAGACCTTTTTCGATATCCCTCAGCGCGTGAGTATCAACAGCGAGAACGACGCCATCACGACGGCAGTCATTGCGTGGAGTTTCTACCCCAAGTTGCTGGTTCGCGACAACCCGGGAAGCCGGGGTTTGCGCAACGTCGGCAACAACCAGTCCATCAGCCTGCACCCGTCCTCTGTTAACAAGGGCCACAACGAGCTCAAGTGGCTATCTTACTACCACATCATGCAGTCAAAGAGGTAGGTATCATCCTGGTCGAGTAAAATACCCACAGCACGCCTTGAATAGGACGCTAATTTCCATGAGAAGTGTTTACCACGCACACGAGACTTCAGCTGCCGACCCCTTTGCCATTGCTCTGCTGTGCGGCGATGTGCGAGCTGATGTAAGTTGTCCCCCTCCATTCTTGGTACTCCAATGGCAACATTGCGCAATGCTGACGTTGCTTCTCAGATGTTTTCCGGTGTCCTTGTCCTTGACGGCAACCGCTGCAGATTTGCCCTGCCCGACTGGAAGACGATGCTCGTCATCAAGGTCCTTCGCACCAGGCTTCGAGAGCTCCTTACCCGCTCTTTCAAGCAGCCAGGCAAGCTGCCGACAGCACAGCACGAGCGGTGGCTGGCAATCTGGCAAAAGATCTTCTCCCAAGAGGCGAACAAGGACAATAGCAACACGACCGTTAGCAAGGCATAGGTCGTGTGTACGGCAGGTGAGGATCCCAAAGGTTTGTTGGCGTTGATGGACAGGCCAGGGAATGACCACCCTGGGTGCCAACCTTATGGCGCGTGGTGGGACTTCACATGCTGGCAGCTTGTACTCTGGCAAACTGCGCTGCAGCGAAGACTTTGATAGAACACAAACCAAGCCCCTCGGAACTAGAGCAGACGAAAGAGTTCAAGAACGGGTATAAACCAGCAGAAGAGAAAGCGTCTATAGAATTGCGAGAGGCGAGGGCGGCCAGTGAACAGAGTCAACTGGAACACAAGGCAAAGCTTTCAATGGTGTTTTGCGCAATGGATAGAAAGAGGAGCAGGAAACGCACTCCAGCTTGAGTCAGGGGCCGTTGATTGTGACGCTCTAGAACCTGGATTTGCCCTTTGTATTGCACGAATGGAAAGAGTGGCAATGCAAACAGACGCGCACATGCATTCTCAAAGAGGTTCAGAGGCAGGCCAAAGAGGTTGGGGAACACTATTCACCTGCACATTAGACTATGCACGAGTAGGCATCGTAACAATTACATGGTTGGTCCACACTGGAGGTGCTTGACTGCGATAGCCGCAACAAATCGAGATGAAGAAAGACGTGGCAGAGAGCTGGACCATTGGTATTAATCACCCTCCAAATGCTGGTGTTGAGGAATGTGTGCCAGGACCGTAGTAAAATCAAACAAACGCAGCAAGATACTCTCATCTTTCCCATTTCCCATAAACGCCGTAATTAGTGATGGTTATGCCCAACCTGGCCATTGCCTTGCCTTCCCACACCCTCTTCCTCGGACGCATTAGTTGTTGTTGTTGCTGTTGTAGCGGCGGCAGGGGTGGTAGCATTTGTAGTACCACCCAGAACCAGCGCCTTGAAGTCGGCGTTGCTCTTCATCGGTTTCCGAGCCTCCGTGTCCCCTCCAACGGCACCATTGACCTTAGCTACCGTTTGTGAAGCTGCGGCTGCTCCCGCGCTCACGGCCTTGGGCATGAAACCCAATCCTCGTTTGGCTCCACCCTTACTGCCCAAGACCGGCCGCTTGACGGTCGTGGAGGGCGGAACAAAGACGCTACCACTGCCTGTGTTCTTGGGAGCAGCGAGTTTGTCGCTCTGCTTCTTCCCGCCGACACCGTAGACAATCTTTTCTGTGCGAACCTCCCCCTTGGAATGCTTGAGCTCCTCAACGGATCCCGTTCGAAGTTTCCGGTCGTCCAAGACGTAACCATCGAGTTGAAGCATTGCGCGGCCAGCACTCGGCTCGTCTTCGAACTCGATCTTGGCGCCGCCATGACTGGGTTGCAGAACGAGGCTCTTGAAACCTCCAACCTTTTCCACAATGTCCTTGACCCGCGCATCGTTGACCGTGTCAGGGATACCTAGGAGAGCGATGGTCCGCGAAGCGATCTCAGCCCGGTTGGGTCCGGCCAGGCGACGACCGTCGCCATCACCGTTGCTACCTGCCATTGTTTCATCCCCCTCCTCGTCACGACTCGGCGCCGGAGAGGCGCCCTCTTTCGAGACGACCGCCGTCCTCTTGAAGTTGCTGGGTGTGGAGATCTGTACAGTCATGATACTGCTGCGCAGCTTGGCCTTGTCGAGCTCAGAAGCAGCAGTCTGTGCCTGCTCCTTGGTTTCCATCTCGACGTATGCCGCACCGTGACCTCTACCGGCCTTGTTCCGCGGGATGCTGATGCGCTTGACGGTACCGTATTTTGAAAAGGCTTTTTCGACGTCGTCCTCGACGGCCAAAGGGTCCAGGTTTGTAATATGCAGCTCGCGGCCTTCCTCTATCGCTCCTTCGCGTTTCTTCGCACGGCTTGGGTCGGAGTACATGGCCAACAGCTTGAACTTTCCATCGAGCACAGTTCCGTGTTTCTGTACGGCTTTTGCAGAGGCAGAGCGGTCGCGGAATGTGACGTAGCTGAATCGCCGACGAACATTACCCTTTAGACTAGGCATCCTAATGCTCAGGATCTCTCCGCAGTCCCTGAACAGGTCGCCGATGTATGTCTTGTCCGCCGTTGGCGGGTAGTTGGTGACATAGACGGTGAGATCCGTGCCGGGCTGCACGCTGATCTGGGCCGTCCCAAAATATTTTCCGTCTCTGAGGAGTGCGGACTGCGCCTCCTCTGGGGTTTTGAACTCGACCATGACTGTCTTGGTATTGTCTTGGGGGTCAATGGCCGGATCGGTGACGTCGACAATGTGGCCATACTCTTTGAAATACTGCCGTATCTTGGTTTTGGTTGTCTCAGCAGGGAGGTTGCCGACCAGCACCGAGGTATTTTCTCGGTCTCTTTTCAGACTTTGCTGCTTGAGCGCCGCCGTGTCCGTCTCCGCGGCTTCGCTTTTTGGTCTCTTGCTGGACGTCACATCGGCCACATCAGCTTCCTCTTCCCGCTTCCGTTTGGAGCTGGACGACGAGTCGTCATCTACCGTTTGAGCTGCATAGGCTGCTTGTGTTTCTTGAGCCTGGGCCGCGTAGTACTCTGCAGCTTGCGCCGCCTCTCTCTCCCGCCGCTTGGCCACTTCCTTACGGGTTTCGTAAACCGTGTCAATGGCGATACGGACCGTGCTCGGGAGCTCGTAGTCATTACAGTGCTGCACATAGACGTCAATGATTCTCTCCGGCCAGTCCAAGGACTTCCTCTTAATGGCTCGTCCAAGCACGGCCGTGGCCACCGACGGGACTCTCAACCCGGTGGCGGCAGTGGAAGGCGTAGGGCTGCGGTCCTTGCCGTTGGAAGCGAATATCATCATTTCCCACAAGTAGTAGCTGAGCCAGAAGTCGTAGCTGTCGGCGTACAACTGTTTCTCTGCCAGCTTGTGCCATTCGCTCCTGGCCTCGTCAACATTGCGTTTCTTCTCGGTAAGGTACTGAATATAGATGCGTTCCAGACGAAAGTTGGAGTCTCCTCTGTAGCTGTCGCCGTAACGATGTTTGGCCTGGTCAACAAACTCGAGGGCAGCACGCAGTCCCATGTCGGCAATATCAACGTCCTCATCGGTAGCGTTCAGGTCCATGGCCTTGCGCTTGAGGAACCCGCACCAGGCAGCGTACATGTCGAGAAGTGCGGCCATACCGTTCTTGTAGAGCTCGGGGTTGCTAGTGGCTTTGTGTTTTATCTGCTCAATTTCGTTAAAAGGGAGCCTGGCGTCTTCGGCCGTGAGAATGTAGCGCGACCAGATTGCACCCGACCAGGGGCAGTGGTCGACAGCCCGCCGCAAAACGTCCACCATGCCTTGCGGCGACTGCGCATATGTGCCGGACGTAGATAGAAAGCGGACGTATTCGTTCCAGATGGTGTCGTCAAAGGCAAACACGCCCGTCAGGGCCCTGGCATAGAGGCCTCGGCAGAGATCGCCAGTGGCCTCGGCCTGCTTGTTGCTTCGCTTGCTCTGGGCGCACTCCCATTCGAGATAATCCTTGAGCAGGTTGCGGTAGACGTCGTCTTTCCCGTCGCGGGAGGCCTGCTTCAGCTTCAACTCGAACATGTCGCGGTCCTCCGTCAGCTTCTTGGCCTCCTGCAATTTAGGGTTGGCGGTAACGCTCTGCATCGTCTCCTCCCAAGCAGCCTTATTATAGGTCGAGAGAAACTCGGAGAAAGCTTGCGCGGTGTTGTCGCGGGTGACGTGCGGAACCTGCAGGCGGTCGGTGTATAGGCAGGTGATGCGTCGGATGCCCTGGGCGGTGCGTGAGCGGGCGAGGAGGCCGCTCTCGAGAGAAATCCACTGATCCCACAACTCGTGACTGTCGCTGATGCGGTATTGGATAGCTTCGTAGGCCTGTTGCCATAGGCTAAGGGCGGCGTCGAGAGAAAAGAGCTCGCAGCCCATGTGGCGTTCCTCGTCGGACCATCCCGACTCGTAGGACTGGCTAGCGACGTAGAGGGACCAAAAGTAGTCACAGTATGCGCGCCAGACGCGGACGCTATTGGGTTCGGCCTCGACGGCAAGCTTGAACAGCTCAATGACGTGAACGCGCTTCTCCAGATCGTTGGCGTGCCGACTGTTCTCAGCGACGTAGTCGAGCCATTTGTCCTCCCCTACCGGCAGGGTCGCCATCTTGCAGAAATCGTGGGGTCGTCAACAGACGAACCATGGGAGGAGTGGTTGTCAGGTGAATGTGTGTCTTCGTTTTTATGTCGGCGCCCTGACGTGGTGTGCAGGTGGATGGGTACAGTCGAATAGTGTTTGTCTTGTCGTTTCTTCTTCCCTTTTTCTTTCTTTCTTGGTTGTATTGGAGATGGCGATGGTGGTAGGGTAGTGGTGATAGCGGTGGTGGTGTAGGGTGGGTGGTAGGTGGCAGAGGGGACGCAGACGTGGAGATTTTGTTGAAGAAAAGTAGAGCTTGGACGGTCGGCGGGTAAGGTACAGGCAGAGAGAAAGAGAGCAGTAGGTACCTAGGTGTAGGACACAGAATGGAGCTCCGGAAGCTGGTGGAACCGGTGATAGCGACGGCGACAGGCTGATGTCGATGCAACGGTTCAGCGAGGCAATAGCCGAAGCGGTCGGTGCTGGGCAGGTAGGTTTTGAGCAACTGCAGTTGCGAAGATGAGGATTTTGCGACAACAAGGCGTTGCAGAGGTTAAGTCAGGCGCCGCGAGGCGAAATGCCGTTCTGCTCTTTCTTGTCACGTATTGTCTGGAAGGGGAGGGAAGGAACGTTGTACTGGAAAACTAAATAAAAATAAAAGCGGTCGACGGACGGGGCTGGATTGCGCCGAGAAGGTGTAGATAGGCGGAGGTAGCCAAAAACACAGCACAAGCACCAAACCAAAGCAGCAGGCACACAGTGACCGGTCAATGAGCGAATTAAGCACGGATACCTTGCCTGCCCGGGGGAGGATACCTTTAATACACGTACGTACACTACCTAGGTAAGTATGCACAGCGTACGTAAACCCAGGGAGCATCAATTGCTGCTGTTCAGGGCGGGTGCATAGTGGCCAGGCTGGGGAAAGATCAAGATAAGAGCGAGGAGGAAGAAAAGGACAGGAAAGGCAAAGGCTGCAGCTCGTGCGTGCCTCTGTCTTGCAGTTCCAAAGAGGTACCTCAGGTATGTGAGTACCTAGGCAGGTAGGTTTAGGCGACATCAGATTATAGCAGCAACGCTACTAGCTGGCTGGCTGGTATCAATCCTCGGGCTCTTATTCTCATTATTTCTCTCTTGTTTTTCCTTTCCTTCTTATCCCCTTCCATCACCGTTCTTGTTTATATAACCCCTCTCGCCGCTGGATTGTTATGGTCTTGAACGCGCGGCGCAGCAGCAGCTCAAATTCAAGTCTGCCTACCTAGGTAGGTACATACAGAGAGAGGTAGGGACTCGACTGGCGTGGGCACTTTTTTTTTCCCCTGTCCGGGAGCCTGTAGATTGCTGAAAAGAGACCGCATTACTTCGGGATGCGCCATGCGTGATATCCGAGCCAGCATTGTATCTTCAGATTACCGGGCGCTTTTCTGGGATATTTCTGACCGACAATGACTGGACAAGAGGACATTGAAGGCATTGGAATCTCCTGTGAGGCCAAGACGGAGCACCTTACTGCGTAGTCGGTAGGGTTCTTGTGTCCTTCCTTCCCCGAAAAAACATGCGAGATGGACTGTGGGGATCTGAGGTGGCACTCTGCACTCTGCACACTGTATGATCGGCACGGTCCGTGGCTGCGGAGTACCTTTACGCGCACTGTGTGGATCCCGGCATGTTTCTCCAGTCAAAATCATACTGCGTACCTACATCGTAGGTACCGTAACGTAACAGACGCCTTAGTATGTGTAGAAGCTTACATAAGGAGCCAAGCCCAAAGTTTGCACCTTATTTTCTAATCGCCAGGCTAACATTATTTGAGGCATCTGGCTGAATGCTCGCTTAACTCGGCGAGCCCAGACTGACATTGGATAAAATATAGTATACGCGCATCTTTTAGCCGTCTCTCCTCCGCCGTCCGCCATCAGACGGCTACCACAGCGTCCCGGCCCTCGTCGCCGTGAGATATAAGATGGAGTTCAGCCACTAGGAATCTCTAGTACAATTTATCTTGGTTGCTTAGTCGTGGCCAACATTGGGCGAGACATCCATCTGGTCATTTGGTGAAGCCGGGCTTGGCACCGCGCGGTCGTGCCGGTGTGCCGTGAACACGGTACGGCGACGGTCGACTGCCTGGCTATTATTGGTAATTCCGAGGAATCTCCAACGACTAGCCTCCCTGTGGGAATGAGGTCATTGGCTTAGATAGGTACTGCCGAATCACCCCTCTTTGATCAAATACAGTTGGCAAACACTGTACCGCCCCGCCGCCAACACCGCCACCCACCGCCCGCTTCGAAAGTCGGGCGCGTCGGTTGTCAGTGGAATTCGACGACCTACCTTATGTAATGATCCTCATGGCAAATCAACCCCCGGAAAGGAGGAAAATTGCGTAAAAGCAGCATTTTCCCACACTCCTGCTGTGCCCAAGGCTTTCGGTACCGGAACTGGCTCCGACCCATAGTCACATGAAGCCTGGAAGCACGCGACAGCTTTTCTTTCCAGCCCCGGCGCCCTTAGTCCGGATCGGCGAGCCCGGTCGCGATGCGATCTCACTTAATAGTGCCCACTACCTTTTCCCGCTGCTCCGTCCCGGGTCTGTCACCCCATGGCCGAGACCCGATTGAGGCAGTTCATCGGCTCGAAACCGATAACAACCGACGGCCAAGTAGAGTGCGTGCGCATGCCTTCTATTTATACGCCAAGAGGCGTCGTCCGTCACCACCGAACAGCTTACGTAGTGTAGTCCTCGTCCTGGTAGGCCTGAAGGCAGATGAGATAACTATCGTTGGCTTGGCCGAAACCACCGCGATTCGACGCCTTGAGCCCCGCGAATGAGTATCCGCTTGTTGCGTTGGCGATGAATACAGTCCAGCATCCAGCAATCGCTCTCCAGGCTATTCTTCTTCGCTCATTAGTCATGGCCGACGACAAGGCCTACAGTTTCCCACCCTAGAGGCTTAATCGACAGCGTGTTGCCATCAGGGACAGAGCCGAGATACGTCCACAGCAGCATGACGGGATATATTGACGCGCCAGCTCAGCCATCCAACTTGAGACAAGAATGGGGTATCCCAGCGCAACGGTACAAGGTCCCGAAATAGGCGATCGTTGAAACGGCTGAAAGCCAGATTACATAAGCCAATAGGAATAAATGGATTAAAAAAAAGTCTTGCTCATCGGCCCTGGTCTGGTGTTACAGCGCTTCCTGGCAGCATCATGCGCAGGGGACGCCTGCTTGTCTGTCACAGCGCCCAGCCTTAATGTAGGTACGCAGTAGACTGTAGTACAGTTTTTATCCGCGATGATGACCGAACCGATTCGAACAGCCTGCAAACATGGCTGGTTTGCGTCTCCTACCGGCTTGCCTCGACCGCCGCCCACATTGGTGAGTCCTTGAAGTGGACACAAGATCATCGGGTCGCATAATTCAGCGATAAACGAGGCCCTCTACCGTTGTGGAATGCTAATAAATAGTAGATACTGGGCTGAGATGAAGGGGGTCCGGAGAAGCAAGCCCAAGTAGGCAGGCAGAGCAGCAGGCGACTGAGGACAATACCTGCCGACGCATATTCTGTGTAAGGAAAAGCTTGCCTCAACAGGGCCGTGTCACGACGAGACGGTCGATGGCAATTGCGGCGTTATTGCTTCTTCGCCCTCACCATTGCTTCACCAAGTCAACGTAATCGGGCACAGCGAGAGTCACCTTGTCAATGAGAGGTGTGCTTAATGTTGCCTTGTCGCTCGACCGGCATGGCTCACAACGTCGCTAACAGCGTCAATTAGGCCGGACACTCGGCAGGAGGTAAAAAAGGACAACGTAAAGCTGGGTAGAGGTGATGGTGATTGCTGGAAATACCTAGCGGGTGGAGGGAATGATGGTAAGGGAACCACCGGGGAATGTCCAGGCCGTCGTGGGTGGGTAGGTGGGGGGAGGGTATATGCTGAAACAGGAGGGGGAAGGGGCCAAGAGAAGGAGAACGGGGACGAAATGCTTTTTGCATTTGCTGTACATATTTACACATCTCGTAATTACCTAGGTAGTGTGATCAACCACGATCGTACCTACCTATCTGTAGACAAACTTCGCAGCGAGCAAAGATGAAATGGTTGGAGTTCGGGGGACGAACGAGCAGCAATGCAATGCAGTTTAATACGCGAACACCTCTTTTCTTTTCTTTTTTTTTTCTCTCTCTCTTCTGCTTTTTTTTCAGACAGGCATACCTAGTACAACCTACCTAGGTAGTGTGAGTGTGTGTGTGTTCATACTTCACGTCTATTAGGGGAGGTGGGATGGATGCCGCACCGGCATTCGTCATCCATGCAGGTTGGGAGCTTCCAGGCTTCCTTTTTAGAGAGCGGCTTCGGATTCTGACCACATTTGTTCACAACATAACCATCGTGTGATGCATCTTAGGTAGGCCGAGTATCCGATATCCTGATTGTAAACGAGAGTGGGAGTTTTTTGGTGTGGTTTTTTTTTTTTGAGACACCCGCCGGTGCAGATGCACATACGCTTACTTTCCCTCTCTCTCTCTCTCTCTCCCCCCCCCCCCCCCCCCCCCCCCGACCCCCCTTTTGGGGGGAACTCTCGGCAGACGAAACGAGGGATGTGCAGTGGCTTGCGGCGGCAAGATTCACGGGTTTCCTAGCGCAGATCATGCTCGGTTCCGTTGGTTGTCGTCGGCCGACACCGACAGAGGCAGCTGGGGGATTGCCTTGTATGCGTACTGAGATACCTACAGGGGCTACCACGCTGCCTATCGCTGTCCCTCGCGCTACAGCTGTCGCTATCGCCGTCGCCGTCGCCGCCGCCGCTGCCGCTAACGACTCCACAGTCTACGCTGAAGGTGGGGGAAGGAGGGAGGCGCTGTAAATCTTGTGGACCGACCGCTCGGCTGCCCCTGGCCTGGCTTGACGTCAAGCAGGGAACGTTGCCTCATCCGCCATGCTGGGCTTTGACTGCGCCCCGTGTCGCGACTACGGATGGCTCCTGTCCAACCCCCTGGCTAACAGGAGGGGGACGACTAGCAGGGTCTTTGGCATCAGACGAAGACGGGGGCCGATAACTCGACAAGGACCAGGTCAGAGACGGGCGGAAGGGGAGGGAGCCACACTCGACAAACTTTTGCACTGCTTGCTATACGGACATTGTTCAAGAATCAAGAGCAGCTTCGTGTGCTCCCATAGGCCGGGACAGGCGCTAAAAGGTAGAGTAAAATAAGATAAAAATACGACGACAACGGCCCAGCTAGCCAATACGTGGGCAAGATACTTGGTTGGCATTTACCCCGTTGCAGAGGAGCCGAACATTAGAGGAGCTTTCTGGACATGGGATGGCAATTATCGACTGGCCCATTCCGTCCAAAACTTATTATCGTACGCTCTTAGAACACCGGACGTCCCCCCCTTGATTGAACGCGATTGAACGTCATCCCTGACCAAGTGGGCTCGCTGTGGCTGTCCACGCGGTAGCCTCCCTCAGATCGGATCTAGACTAAGTTGGGGTGTTGCATCCGAATGTGACTTACAAGTTACCACACCTGGTATTATCTGGCTGCCGAGCCAAGACATTGTGTAGAGTCCCGGTGGCTTGCTTACTCCGCCCCGGCTCCTCTAACCTGCAGATGCCGCACCTCGAAACCGAAGGAATTGAAGATTGAACGAACCCAAATGTAAAATAGATAACTAACTAGTCAAATTAAAATACCTCTTCTCTATATTGCAGGATGTGATGCGCGCCCGGCATGGGGGGGACGGACCTGACCTTGCTTGCATCGTCGGACTGGGCTGCCGGGCATGAGGCACAAGAACAGACACACACACACACACGAACGTGTACGGACCTTTGCTTGGTTGGTACGGTGCATCAGCTGCACCTCGGACCCTCGAGTACGTTCTTTCCCACCCCTCCCTCTTTTCGACAAGTACATACTACCTAGATAGGTAGGCAAGGGACTGTGGGACGGTTGGTGTCTTGTCCGAACGGATAGCAACATCCTCTCCCTTCCCAAACTGACAACCTCCCTCGCTTGCTTCTCTCACTTTGCACCTTATCATCTCCGACATGGCCAGCCATGGCCTGACACTTTGTCACCATCCTTCGTCTTCGACATGAGGACTCTCTGGAGCACTGCCTCGCCTCTATTTGACGCGACAGTGCTGGTTGAGCATGACTCCGACGAGGTCCACGACAGTAAAATCCAAGCAGAAAGGGATACCCCAGGCTGTCATCGGTGCCTTGTGCTCTCACTCTCGCTCTGACCACAAGGAGGCCGGCCCCCTTTTTTCCGCCAAGGGGAAATGTGTACCGCTCCTACCCACCCACCTGCCTGCCTGCCTGCCAATTGCGTGTAAGTCGTCAGCACAAGAGGTCTGGCAAACTACCTTCCTTCCCGTCCGCTTGGGTGTCCCCCTCCCCAATAGGTAGGTAGTCCACGTCCCTCCCGTCTGATCTCCCCTCCTTCCCGGCCTAACCCTGTTCCTATTGAGCCTCGACCCTTCCTGTAAGTGGACTGGCTTCTTGTTGCTATACCTATCTTAATACGGCAATATCCCTCCTGCCACTCTAGATCCGAGATATCACCCTCTTCTGCCCCCCCCCTCCCCCCGGCGCTCTCTCCCTTCCCATTACTCGAGTCTTTTCTGTCGGCTTCTTTCCTTCTTTCTTCCAACGACCGCCCTGTTTTTTCTCTTCGTCTCATTCTTTACTTTCCCTTCTACCCCGCCGGGCGCGTGCCTTGTCTACTTCATCCCTCCCGCACACACCTTGACCGTTGATTCTGCATTCTTGCTTGTCTTTGCCGACGACTTGTTTCGTCTCTTCTAGCTCTCATCTTGACTCGAACCGACTCGCCCTGCTTCGGACTCGACTCGCTGGGTCCGTTTGCTTGCACCTTGGTTGGTCTTGTCGCAGACTACCTCCCACTATCCTCCTTCCCGAACTCGACGTACCGAGCCTTCTTGTGGCCTCGTTCGCCTCTCTCATCTTTTCAACCACCCAGGCATCTACCTTGCTTATTTCTCCTTCTGGACTCTTCGGACTGAGCGGCATTTTCGCCCAGGCTGTCGCGCATCGACGCCTTTTTGCCTCAGCGCCAATTCCAGCCGAGGCCTAATATCGAAACTTCGGCTACAGGTCAGACCATGACCTACCGTATGACGTTGTGACAGGTCCGGTCCTACACATCACGAGTATCTTCAGATTCGGAACCGGTAACGCCAAAACCTTTCTTCGACTAAGGCGCCCTACTTGACTGGTACCGTCTCGCTTCTGTAGAGCCTCTCGCCCCCCCAACTATCATCATGCGGTGCCATATCTTGGCCCAGGGCGCTGTTATGGCAGCTTTTCTTGGGGGTGTTTGCGCGCAGTTGGATTCCTTGTCGCCTTGTGGTGTAAGTCCAGTTCTTGTTTGCTCATAGTCCTAGTAAATGCTCAAGAAGGTCTTTGGAGTCCACAATGCATCAAATGAGGCCTCGATTGAGAGAAAACTAGGCGTGCCTTTGAGCATTGCACTTGAGATACTGGCTAACACAAGAATCTTTGTCAGGTTGCATGCGTCAACAACGTCATTGCCAAAGGCTTCGGCTGTGCATCGGGGGACAATACTTGTCTTTGTAAGCAACAAGACTTCATCTTCGGTGTTCGAGATTGCGTCGCGCAGTCATGTACGGCGGATGAGTCTACCAAGGCCAATGACTACATCGCCGGGCTATGCGCAAGTATGTAATTCCATTCGCAGATCTAGTGAAAGCCTCACTGACTTATCATACTAGCTGCCACCAGAGCTCCTCCCGCTTCGACCCCGCCGCCCTCCACACCTGCTACACAGCAATCAACAGCCCCAAAGGCCCAGCCACCACCGCCAGCAAGCACTACTGCACCAGCTCAGGCCAGTGAAGCTAGGACTCTGATTGCGTCTGCTCCCCACAGTTCAGCCCCTTTGGAAGCAACCAGGAAACCCATAACCGAGGTTGCACAGGCGACTCAACTCCCAACTATTACCCCCACAACTTTGGTAAGTAAATGGCCATGGCTTGGTCCAAGATTATGAGAACTGACGAGTGTGCCAGTCCGCGTCCGTTAGGCCGCAATCCTCGATAACCACGTCATCTACGCCAACTTCCGCTGGGGCTCGGCCGTCACAATCTGCTTCGGCCCCGGACGCTGGGGCTGAGAATCAGACCAGCGAAGCCTTGAGCCTTTCTACGCCAGCCATGGTTGGAATTGGAGTGGGTGCAGGCGTCGGCACCATCGCTGTAGGCGTGGCCTTATGGCTTCTTATCAGGCGACCGAAAACCCAGTTGCGCTCGATGCAGATATCTGGCCCAATGCCGGGTTCCGGAAGAGATTACACAGGAGGCATCGTTGGCATAAAGGAGAGGAATCATTCAGAACTGGATGCAAGGTCGAAAAGGTACGAAGATATGGTGCCACGCCAGTCGCCGAGACGAGTGATATGAAGATTTCCTATCGAGGCATGCCGTTTCGCTTCAAGGCGTATTGGGCACCCGGTCTGTGGTACTTGTCGTTCAGACACATGGCTCGGAGTCCTTCCACAGGCCACTCTAAACAGCAACCCGAACATGGCCTCGGCTTTGGGGCATGTACGCAGCGTGTCAGGGTGATGCCTGTTACGAATTATGACTAGACGAATGTTCGCGTCTTGTGGCGATGAACTGGGAAAGGGGATAATTAAACAGCGGGGCATTATACCATGGGAGGGGCGGGCTTCGCTGCGGAAACGCGCTCGATTGCTGAGATAAGTACCAAAGATGGCGAATATGGCGTAATGGATCATGTTCTATGGCGGGTTTCATTGTACATATTCTTACATATTTCTGACTGATACAGTATGGGTTTCTCCCAGCACCTTGATCAACGCATCGCCGTCCCAATGTTGTTTTTCGCTAGGTAGTTTGGCTACCACGAGTAGTAAGGTCTCTGAGCCGTCACGGGCCGGTCAGGCAAGTGAACCCAGGGCTTCCTCCGCGCCTGCTTGGCAAGCTTCTCCTTGTACTCCCGTATTCTCGTCTTCTCCTCCTTCAGCACGACCGAAATGCCTGGAACATCGTTAGCATAAAAAGAAACGCAGTGGGTTATTAGTGATTGAGGACGCACTGGTGGAGGGTGACTGCATGATGCCGAATCTACCTCTGCCCTTGTAGTCGAGCTGCTTTGATCTCCAGGGCCCTCTGCCAACCCAGGCCTGGGCAACATATAGCCTCGTTGGGTCTTCGACGGTCAACGTCTTGCCATCCTTGGTCTGGATCTTGATGGGCTTTGTATCCGCATCTCCGCCCTGTCTCTTGGCCTTGCCCGGACCGATACCCATACCACGCGTAACAACAGCGAGATCCCTTGCCTCCTCCAGCTGGTACTTGACCTCCGCCGCCATCTTCTTCTTGGAGTACGACATCTGCAAAACTGCCTCCTCGAGCGTCTTGCCCTGAATCTGGCGCGCCAGATGCACGAGCTTCTTGACACTAGTCTCCAAAAAGGGACTCTTGTGCGCCAACTCCTTCTCAGTTTGCGCAATGCGCTCTGAACGGCTGACACGGCCGTTCCGACGGACCATCTGGATAACCTTCTTTCTCTCCCAGCGCAGACGGCTTCGCGGATCGGGGTCGAGTCGCCAGGCGGTGGTCTCCGGTGTCTTCAGAGAAGCCTGCCCCATGTTGGCCTTGGAGCCCATCTTTCCCTTGGAAACGGCATCATCGACCTCCTCTTCGAAAATGGAGCTAGACATCTGGGGCTGTTGTTGCTGGGCAAAGCGCTGACGGACTTTGGGGTCATCGAGGTTCTCCCCTCCCGTCATAGAATCATCGGTGCTGCCACGGCCACCCCGACGGTTTCCAAATAGACCGCCAAAGCTCCATTTGTTTCTAAATTGGGTAGCAGAATGGAGAGGCAAGATGAAAGATCGAGGGACCGGTCGAGCGATGGATTGGAGGGTCGAGGGAGCTGTAAGAACTGCTGGTCAGCCTGAAGGGGAATAGCCAAACATGAACTAGGTTGCCACAGAAAGACACTGGGGGCAATCCTAAAGGTTCATGTAACTCTAAGCAAAAACGTACCAGACGAGGCTAACCTCCTCGTGGGGAAGTTGAGGCTCATGGCTGTGACTGGTTGTGCTGGGTGACTACCAGCGAGCTTCACTTTGCACCCTTGACGGAGAAAAATGCCATCAGATCGAAAGATTCCACTCACACGCTCCGCGTCACGCCTGGAGTGTGGTCTGTGTCGGCTATCAGCCGTGGTTTTTCCTGAGCCGGAAATGCCTCAGCCACATTCACTAGGACACAGTCAGCCACAGAAGGCCTCGCTCAAGCCAGCCAGCCAGCCAGCCAACCAGAACGGAGCAGATTCAATCACAGAGATGGGTGCTTAGCTAATAGTACATGCCGGCAGCCGGGAAGGTCAGGAACCAAAAGTCGAGGACCGACAGCCAAAAGGCAGAACTGTAGGAGATAATTTAATATCACGTGATGGCCCCATCGCGCGATTTCATCAGACCACTCAAGCTACCCGAACAATTGAGCATCATCATCAATTCACCCTCTGGTACACGAAATCTCGGCCCAATCGATTCGCACAACTCTCACAACACTATTCATCACAATGGCCGGCACTACCGCTGTTAAGCCCATCACGGGTGTACGTTTCCCGCATCAATTGAGCCCGGTGTCACGCCCATGCCGGTCGCTGGAGGAAGAGAAGACAAACTGTTGACTAACGACGGATGATAGATGCTGCGACGCAACCTTGTTCTCGACCTTGGCATTGCTCTCGGTAAGCCTCACTATGCAGTGGACGGATGAAAGACTTTGGAGTGATCGGCTGCAGACCGGGGAAGAGAAGGCATGCAATCGGGAGTTGATCTCTGTCTTGACTTCCGGACCGACCTGCGTGCGCCGCAGCGCAGTTTCAAGCCTCCGCCCTGGTTGCCTTACGGTCTAAGAACCACCCAACTAACCATATCGCAGGTCTCGGCTTCGCCATGGCCAACGTCTACTGGTACGCGACCACCATTGCAGAGCCCTATTAACCTTGGAAAGGACCCCAACACTAAACTGCATGACAGGTACGGTTACCACATGCCGCGCACAAACGCCCGCGATAGCTACTACGCCAAGCTCGAGCAGCAGAAGGCCGAGGCCCGTGGTCAGAAGGCATAAACGACAAGGACAACTGACAGGGCATGATGAATGAGGCAGCGGAGTGAGTAAGAGCGATCTGTTAGATTGGGCGACGGGAGCGAGAGGGCATCTGCGATCTTAGACAAGATATGGGCTTCATCAGCTGGTCGACCAATCCCGATTGTACCATAGACACCAGCAAATCGAGTTGGAAGTTTTCTTATGTGCACAGCTGCCGTGCGGCATCTACCCTACCCTACGTGGGCGTGCTGTGGCGTTGTCCTTGCTGTCATTGTGTTATCGGCTGCCAAAGAGAGAAACCTGCATTGCCGGGTCACGTATGGCAGCAGGCGGACGGACGGCCAGGTGATTCGTGTCGAGAGAAGGCAACTGAAAGCAATGTGAGAACTGTTGTTCTGGGTCGTCTCATGTGCTGCCCGCATTGGCCGAGTTGGAGCATGCAATGACATGGGCTGCCGCGATAGCTTCGAATAGTAGGCAGTGGGCTTCCTAATACGCCATCACGCATGATGCATCGATGCTGTGGCTAACAAGGCCATGGTCTTGCGCAAAATATAGATTGAAGAGACTAAGTAGAGCGCACGATAGCGCCACCCTCGAGGCCGTATCCCGTATGAAAGTGGTTTAGGACATTAATGATGCCTTTAGACAGTATCATCTCGGCAACTCAGTGCAATGCTCATTCATCCTCCCATGCTTGTGACCATTGATGGTACACCGGTTCGTTGTTGTGTCCTTGTTCGGTTTTGGTGCTGCCCGTCGTTGGGGAGCTCCGTTGGGTGCTGTGGATCGAACCCTCCCATGCTGTCGTTTCAACTGTGAACGTGCCCTTTTTGTCTTGACATCTTTTTCAAAGACAAGGGAAAGCCCAACCTCCGTCAGCAACTCGGAGCATTAAAGAACAGCATCATCGGCGGAAGAGAAGGGGAAGTCAAAGAAACCTACTGCCGGAAGAGCCGGTGTATCGGCCAACATCGCACTGGGCTGTCTCGGGACTTTGAGTCGTCGACGTAGCACCGAAACTGCGTCATCTCCTTCAAAGCACACTTGGTCAAATCGACATTGGTGCCCCTCGGAAGCTTGCGCTTCTTGCCTTTGACATCGGCTTGGACGCGCAGCTCCAGCTCTGAGACGGGGAACACTTTGCACGGCGGTGACATTTTGGCGACGTTGGCAACGGCAGCGGTGGCAGCGGTGGCAGCAGCGCGCGATACGGGTTTTTGCAACAATGGAAATGCCTTCGGCAACAGCTCGGGCTGGCGCAAGGCTGCTGGGCGATGTCGAAGAGGCAAATCTAGAAGAGGTACGCGAATTACGGTTCACTCAATGTTTTCACCCCCAATCTTAAGGCGGATGTCGTGGGGTCGAGACAGGCTGCGTCGTCGATCGAGTGCTCTGTACAACAACGATGATGGGGTGATGTTTTTGTCAAGGTTGGGCCCGCGGACCAAACCACGGTGAAATGCTCGCGACGTCCTTTCGCCATTTCGCCCTTTCCCTCACCAGCGGTGTGTCGTTGTCACTATCATCACCATCACCAGATTTTTTCCTTTCTTAGTTGTTTTTCTGCTTCCTCGCCCTCATCGCATTACATCATTTAAGGAATAAAAATTTAAATACAAAAAAAAAGGAAGAAATGATAATGATAGTGATGATAATAATAAAGTCGCATTTATAAATCACTGACTTGAAACCTTTCTAGATCCTGAACGCATTCCGCACAGCACTCAGTCCTGACGCATCGTCTAGCAAGGCAAAACACCCAAAGAAGTATCCCATCCCTGGCCTGGGCGCCCTCGTCAACCGCAACTTCCGTGCAACGAAGTCAGCACCGCTAGCCGTCACTGGCCGTCACCTCCCGCTCATCTACTCACTCATCTCTACGCTCGTCTCGCAGCCTCACAACAAGACAGTGCTGGTACTCGACACAGAGCACCGCTTCGATGCAACACGCCTTATCTGTGGTCCAGATAATATCCGTCACGTCTACGTACACCGACCGGCCCGCCTCAGCATTCCTGAACAACATGGCGTCAGCAGCGCCGGCATGGGTCCAGACCAGGCTCGGGAACTCGTCGCGGCAGCCGAGAACTGGATGCTCTACGGCGATCACGCCAGCAGCAGCCGCGAGTGGTGGGGGACTATAGTTATCGGTGCCGTCGGTGCCGGTGACGTGACGGGTGCCTGGAAGGGCTGGCTCAGAATCGACCGAGACACCGTACCCGGGTTTTCACTTGGCTGTAGCGCAAAGGAGGCCATGGCAGATCGTCAGAGGCGCCAGGAAGCCGTCGATGCTGCACCATGGACTGCCTCTTCGCAGTGGGGAAGTTTCACCTTCACAGAGCCCGGTGATTCGGTTACTGCAACATCAATCGACTTAACCGATGTAGCCAACTGATGGGTAGAGCGTGCAGAGTAGGATGGGAATGAAGAGAAGAAACGTCAGGATTCCAAGACCGAAGAGAAGAAGCTGGTGGGTACGGGGATGGAGGGGAGTGTACATAGCAGGTGTCAAGATCCTCCTGCCTCAGCTCGCCCCCATCCCAACCCACGAGTCTACCTTTATCCACATGGAGATCAGCTTGCACCACGAGGACATCTGCAGCCAATGGAATAAGCCTTTAGGGAAGTACAAGGAGAGCAACAACAATAACAAGAACTCAACATTCCCGAGGATTGCGCCAGATATCTACGGCAGGGGGGTTTGCCCGAGCCGGTTATATGCGGTGAAATGAGGGGATATCGGGGAGGTGATGTTGCACTAACATGAAGCCATCCGGGACACAGCCAACACCTGCAGGAGGACGGCGCAGCGCCTGAGCGTGAAATGACGGTATTCCACAAGCTCGGCATCGGCCGGCCCAAGGGGGCAGCAGCGTGTTCACTTCGACTTGGGTATCCAGTCCGTCGTGTGAGCATGTAGAGCCACCTGTGAGTGTGAGCCAGTGGTTGATCAGACACGCTCCAGGCACCGTTGACGCTTACGGCGTACGGCTACGGCGCAAAACCAACAAATACCTGGTTGCCCAAACGTCTCCCATTCATAACTCCAAAGCACCGCACACGATGGCCAGTGATTAAATAACGTTGGCAGATTGGGGTACCACACATGCACACATCGAGGGAAGCCAGGAAAAGGTTGTAAGTTTTAAAAAAGGGGAACCTTGGCGTCTAATTGCGCCCGTGTATCGATTTAAGGTGTGCTGACAATAATATGTAGTTTACCTTTTGACTCTAGTCGTGATCTTCGTTGTTAACGCCTGTGGTATCACAATTTAACTCCTTTGATAACAAGCCAAGCCCAATCCAAATCAACCTCTGAAGCCCTGGGAGGCGAAAAAAACAAGAATGAAGAAAGGAAGAAGAAAAAACAGGATCCCAATAAACTCGCTCGTTTCCTGATATCTAAATGCAGCAGTCCTTCATGGTTCAAAGCTTAGCCTAGAATCGGCTGGCTGCGCTCCTCAAGCGGTGTTAGAACAGCACTGCCCCTCTCCTGCATGGCGCGCAGGCAGTCTGCTTCTCCAAGAACATCCTTCCGGAGGGAAGAAACGACACGCTTTCGGATCTCACGTTGGATACCGTAGCGAACAGCGTCCAAGACTGTGGGGACGGTGGCCTTGGGCTTGTAGGCAGGCTCGGTGCCGTCCTGGTAGACGCCAGTCTTGACGAGGATGCTGTGCCACTCGTTTTCGGCTTGCTCATTGTAGAGGTTTGTGCCACGGATGTCGCTCTCGGGCGTATCGCCGACGAAGTAGACAGTGTCGGGTGGCGCGTCGAGACCGTGCTGCTGACGTCTCCATTGCTGCAGCAGCCTTGTCGCGAACTCAAAAGTGCTCACCTGGGGCTTGCCGAAGGCATGGGTGTGCAGCTTGCCCTTCTTCTTGGTAACGTCTTTGAAGATGACTTCGAGCATGCGGCGAAGCGCGCCCATGCCGAGACGTACGTTGTCGTGAGCAGCGGACCAGACGATGTCGTTATGGGAGAAGTAGATTGGCGGGCCCTCGTCCAGGGTTTCGCTCACGGTACCGAGCTTGCCACCCTTGGACATGGCCAGGTCGAGCATGATCTGGATGTCGCCAGCCCAGTCACGGGAATCGGCAAAGACGAAAATGGCCTCGATGGTGACGTTGGAGAAGTCACGCTCGCGAGAGTTTTTCAGCTCTTCCGGCGTGAGCTTGCGGAAAGGAGTCGTGGCAGAGTTGTGCTTGATGATGTCGCCAGGGGTGATGACATCCTTGAATCCGTAGCCCTCGGCCACTTGACGGCACTTCTCGCCCTCGCCGCCGACGACGAGGACGGTATTGAAGCGCTCGGCCATTTCCCTCATAGGGGTGTGGCCGCAGATGAACTGTGCGGGAGAGATGTCGATTTGCATCTGCTTGGACAGATCGGCGCACCTCTCCTCTTCCGTCTTGCCACCACCGTTGGTGAGGAATATGTATGGACTAAAGCTCATGTTAGTCACGGACCATGATGGCAACCGGGTGGCAGTAGGTGGAGCAGGTGGTGGGGGCCAGCGACTGGGGAAGCGAACTTACATCTGAATACCATACTCGTTCTCGCCGTTGAGCACCTTCATGGCCTCGATGGCTTCGGGGATGGCACGGCCGCCCCTGATGAGGACGCCGTCGATATCAAAGGCAAATGCGAAGCTGTCGGCCACGGGAGCGTCGACGGCGGTCGTGGGGGTGACGGGTGATAGAGCCCCAGCCGGGCTGCCAAGAGGGGAGGAGCCGGCAGAGCCGCCGGGGGAGCCGTCGGAGCCATCGAGTGAGGAGTCGGGTGTGCTCAGGGCCATGTTGTCGAGCTGTTTCCGGGCAGCCATGATGTTCTCAATGAAACTGCCGGTGGAGGAAGTCCGGTGATTGGGAGCCATGTTGGGCGATTGTGGATGATGATAATAGCTTCGAGTATTGGGTTGTGCACAGAGAGACACGGCAAGGAAGGTGACGGAACAAGGGGGGGTTAATGAGAATGCCTGGAGCGTAGAAGCAGAGATAAGTGGTCTGTAATTAAGCAAAGCAAAATCTTTCGAGAAGGAACTGCCTTTTCAGCAAAATGGAGGGATGCTGAAGTCAGATACTGAAGCATAGAATAGATATCAACCCCGTCAGAAAGGAAGGGGGGGATACCGGATTATATAGTCTTGATATGAGAGCATCTTGACTTGATGCTGACGTCTCTCCCCTCGACCCTCTTCTTTTCCTTCCTCGACTGCGCGGTTTCGAGTCCCTTCCCGGCATGCATATGTACGGACGTCTCCGCAAAAACCAGGCAAACGCGGGTCCTTGGTCGGTGCAGCGACACCTTTGGGACGAGTTTCTTGAGTCGTGCATGGTGCGTGGATACCGTGGAGGCGAAGTAGGGTGAGAAGTTTTTTTGGATCCCAGACAGCGCGCTCGCTCCACCAGGACACAAGGACCTTACCTGCTGGTGGATTTGCTGCTTCTTACAGGACAGGATAGAGCCACACGGGCGGCCTGTCTTTGTGTCTCCGTACGGAGTACTGGGTGTACGTTACATGCGGCGGCACGTATGCGTAGCTAACAACCTGAGGTACCTAGACAGGTAGGTAGGTAGGTAGATTAGGTAGGCAGTGGTTGTACATACGTACTTGGTATCTACACGTTGATTCCATCGACGTCGTTTGGTATGTAGGAGAGGGTGAAAGAATCAGCAGCAACGTGAACGCGGGGGTAATGTCACGAGTGGATCGGCGATGATCCACCGTCTGTCCGTCTACACCTCACCGCCGCCGTCCTAAGATAAAGGTAGTTAGTAGTGAGGGTAATGTAAAGTCGTGTAGCAGCGAGCATTTGGTGCGTACCTGGGTGTACAAGTATAGAGTATACATCGCGGGATAGACGTCGGCAAAACCAGCGAGTCGACCAGCAAGCCGCCAACAATTGGGTGGCCAGGGCATGGTGTAGAAGGCCCCATCGAGTCTCCATTTTGCCAACCGTCATGGTGGAGACTTTGGAGTATTCGGGCTCCTTCGTTGCGGCTGCAAAAGGTTCCGCAGTCGAGACAGGGCAGAGCGCGAGGACAGCGAGAGGTGAAATGCCCCGAGGTGGTGTTGGTGGTGATGATGATGATTAAGGGACCGATGCGGCAGCGATCGACCCTGCTTTCTTCCCATGCGGTCTTGGCAGGCGACGAACATCCAAGTATGCACGCTGCCGTCACACCCCCCGACGTCGTCGGACCCTGAATTTGGTTCGTCGCATGCCTGTAGACAAACAAGTCTCAAGGCTTTGGAGGCTCTGGTCCTCTCTAGACTAGACTAGACTAGATTAGACGTGATTCCACATCGTCGTCTAGGAGGTGCTAGGGTTCGTGTACAGTAAGTAGTGCAAGGTACTAGGTATCTCACATGTCTTGCCTCCTACCTCCATCCCTCCTCATATCAGTGCTATTTCCATGGTCCGGCACTAGCATAGCGTAGTATAGGAAGAAGATACGGATACAGGACGTTCGACTGGGGCCAGGGGAAGACGCGACAGAGAAAGGGTACATCCGCACGTTGTTTCGTCTTTTGTTGATGACCCGTCAATCAGTGTTGCGTTCTGCCCAAGTCCAAGACAGTCAGTATCAGAGCAGCGCCTCCTGGCTGGCTGGCTACCTCCCTCTCTCCCCTTCCCACCGGCACACTGCACTGTACTACTTACTTACTCCGTAAATTGGCATTGCTTGCCAGTCCATCCCTTATCGATGCGTCCATGGTGTACACTACACTACCTAGAAGGCAGGGAGGTACAGGGATGGTGCCCGCAGGCTTGTTGCGATAGCAGTGACAGCGATCCACAAATGCGAGAATGCCTTTGCACCACAAGGTGGAAGTTGCATCAAGGACACTGTCATGTCAGTGTACGTATGTATGCATGTACAGTTAGGTAGTGTAGGAGCATGCGTGCGTGCGCGCGTGCGCGCCGTTGCCGTTGTGTATGGCTGAGTATGTATGGCTGCCTGCCAACAGGGTCCGCTCCCCCACTTGGTGTGGGCGGGTCGGTGTCCCTCCGGCGAGTCCGCAGTGACGTCAGAACATAAGGGTTTCCCTGAAAGAGGGGGGGGAAGTCGGTCGCGGTAAAGCGCAGGGATCCGGGAGGGAGAGCAGCGATTGGCGCTCGCCCAGCTGCTCCGCTAGACGGGCCGAAGGAACATCCGCACCGTTTACGTCTTAGATAAGAAGGGCCCCTTGGCGCAAACACCCGGGACTTTTCAGCGGCGCCGGGCCCGGGAATTCTCGGTCCCACGGGAATCCTAGGGACCTTGGCCCTGCATAACCGCGCTTGTCTCACCTCATATTAACTCGCACTGCTAAGTGAGCTTGGTGTAAACTGGTTTAGGATGCCTTGGAGGAAAAAACAATGTGGTAATGCGAGGAAACGTCGCCTGCCTGTCCTTGGCAACTTGTTCATCCATCCACCTAACCATCTCATCAGGGTCAGGGTACACTGGCAATTAGGATCCAGGGCAAACAACTGGCTCCTGACTCGACGAATGACGCGCCTTTATCCGTACCCATGTCAGAGAAGGGGAGAACCACAAGTCTACACACAGAACAAGACCGTAGGACCACATAACTCCAGACCATCCACATGTGCATCTTTTGTGGTCTTTCCGTTTTTTTTTTTTCTTGCATCTCTGGGGGTTTCCGCTGAATTGTGCGCCAACCCTCCACGCCTTCTGACGGTGGGGGTGAGGGTGAGTTTAATGCAGTTACTATATCTGGTAGATGCAGAAGAGCTTCATGATGATGTACATCATCGTACGGTGGTCTAGTGTAGTGTACATCCGAACCCGGCCTCGCCTTTACATATATTTATCTATGTACCTCGGGTGGACGAGGTGCCTAGCCGTACAGACACAGGCATATGCCTACGAATTAGTGCGGGCATGTTCTATTCCCTACCTCTTTCTTCTTCTTCTTCTTCTTCTGCTGCTTCTCCATGGCTGCATAACTACGCCATCGGACAGCTTTGCCGAGCCGTATCAGGAAGTAGACCGAACGAAGAACAGGCCCCAGCCCGGCGCCATCATTGTCGCGTCCTGGTGCCGCCGCGCGCGCTACTCGCCGGTCGCATTGCGATGCCGTCACCGTCGGCCCAGGTCCAGGTCAGTGTCTATACCCCCTCTCCTCAACCCTTGTCGAGCCCCGCTCCGCCCCGAACTCTATCTCTGGGTATCCGTTAGGGAGGGATGAATGTACAGTACGTGTAGGTAGACTATCCTGTCACCAATCACGTCACAGCTGCCGTAGACTAGAGACTATCAATGCAGTCCTCTTCGTCCTGTGCGCCCGCTCTAGCAGCAGCGGACATGGCAAGACTGAGAGAAAGAAAAGGGGGGGAAGAGAAAAAAGAACCCCTCCACCGATAACGGGACATGTTGCAGGAATAAACCCAAAGGCTAGCCCTGGGCAAAACCCATGCATGGCCTTGTAATACCAAGCCGAGGGGCCGGTGGGGGGGGCTGATAGCATCAATGGGCTAGCGTGATTGGGCAGGATCTGGGCGCTCAAGTGGATTGGGTGAGACGCCACTCACTTGCTACGAATAAATCATACATTCCCAATCCTTGGAGGTGCGTTTCACCCTTGATGGTGACGGATGAGGGTCGTTGGATGGCTAAGTAGTCCTTGTCTCCGGTGTTGCTTTATCCCTCATTCCTCATTTCTCATTCCTCACTCCTCACTTTACCTGTAACCTCCTTTCGCTACCTATGGCGGGAGACTTCCGGCTGCTCAATCCAGGCACTTGAATACATACTATGTACAGCCAATGAATTATCTTCGTGGGTGAGTGACGGCGCTTATTGAAGATTGACAAAGAGACCGCCATCGACCAGTAGCTGCGCACCCGTCACGTATCCACTGAGGTATTCGCATGCCAGGAAGACGGCTGGTCCGGCGAGGTCGGACGGCACACCGGTACGCCCAAGGGGAATGCGGCCTTCCGTGTATGCACGCTTGGCATCATTCGCCAGGTCCTCCTCGTTGAGCTGCGTCTTGATGGTGCCGGGGAGCAACGCATTGCAGCGTATGTTGTACTTGCCCAGTGCCACGGCAGTGCTCTGCATCAGACTGAGGACGCCGGCCTTGGTGGGGGTGTAATGGGTTTGCTGACCGCCGCCGACGAGGGCGGAAATGGACGAGATTCCAATGATGCTACCGCCCGCGGGTGACTGCTGACTCATGTGGCGAGCGGCGGCCTGGACGACGTAGAAGGCGCCATCGAGGTTGGTGCGGACTGTCTTGGTGAAGAGGTCCGGTGTCAGCTCGAGAAACTCGGCAAATGTGCAGATGCCGGCGTTGGAGACGCAAATATCAAGACGATCGTTGCCCGAGTGCTCAACGGCGCGGGCAACCAGCCGGGCAGCAGTCTCGGGCTCGCGTACATCGCCAATCTGGTCGGCCAAACGGCCGGCGTTGGGATTTTCTTGCCTTGCGGCAGCAGCGTCGGCAATCAGAGCATCGAGGTGGGGTTGATCCTTTTCAAGGCCTAGATGATTCACGACGACGTTTGCCCCCTGCTTGATGTATTCGAGAGCAATGGCTTTTCCGATGCCGGTTGTGCCGCCTGTTATAATGGCAGTCTTGCCGGCGAGCAGGTTCGTCGGAGCCATTGCGGTGACTCGATATCGTTGGCGCGGCTGCTTAGTTTGGCATCAAGGGTTGAGGTTGAGTTAAGTGTCGGATGCCGAGAAGGCGGTCGGCTTAACTTATTTGTAGTTGACGATGTGCAGAACGATCGACGGTTGGTGGTGGAGCGGGGGAAGGAGGGAAGGGGGTGAATGTGCAGCGAGGGCGGCTCAAGTGAGACCCGACGACCGAGCCAAGAAGTCACGATGGATATTTTTCCTATTACCTACTTACCTAGCTAGGTACCTCCCTACCTACCTACTACCTTCCTAGGTAAGTAGGTAGGCAGGCACCGAGATACGTATCCAGACCTAGACTCTCTACGTGCGGTCTTCCTCCACCTTGCCCCCCGCGTCGTCGGCGTGAATTACAGCGAGCCACCCCCGCTAACTACCACCTGACTCCATGTGCCAATAACATGCATCGTCTCATCCTCCCTCCCTTCCTTCCCCCCGACTGCTACTGCGATGCAAGCCGGTGTACCTTGACAGCAAGCAACATCCGGAAATCCTCGTGCATCATGCGCACTTGACCAGGCTGGCTCAACCCTCGCAGTTCAGCCCGCCTACCCCTTACTGTTATTATTCTTGTCCAAGACACTTGCCTGCATGCAAACAAGTTTCTGTGCTTGCTGATAAAATATCATCTTTATAGCTGCTCCGGGATACCGCGCGATCAGGGTGCACGCACACAATCTCTCTCTCTCTCTCTCTCTCTCTATGTGTGTGTGTGTGTGTCTCATGTTGTTGTCGAAAACTCAGTAGGGTTTTTTCTAGTGTGATTTTGTTGAGCAACCTGCGCTACACAATACATGGCCGCGACGGATTAGATGATGTTTAGCTAGCGCCCTCCCCCCGACCGTTTCCTTGGTCTATCGTCGTCGCGGCGTAACTCCTATGCTTTCCCTATTTCGAAGAAGTCGTGAGATCCTGCACCTTTGTCGTCACGTCATGCACAAGGCCTTTCGTTTCACTCGTCTCCGTCCCCTCCGCTGGCTTAAGCGGTCTCTCCTGTACTTGTTGTCAGCACTGGGCAGAATACATCGTCCGATTCAGCAAGGCCGCTTACGGGGTTGACGTTGAGCAGTGACCTGCCCGAGATGAGCTTCGACCTCACTGCCGGGTTGATCGTGAGTCCAAAGCCAGGCTTGTCGAGGTCCGCCGTCGTCAGGAAGCCCTTGGTGGGAATGGGTTCGTCAAGGAACAGGTCTCCAAAGACGGGCAGCACGCTCTTGCCGTCGGGCGAGTTGGCCAGATACTCCTGAAACGGCGTGTTGGGCTGCGACATGACAAAGTGGTAACTGTAGGGGCCACTGGCGTGCGGGACGACGGGGATGTCGTATGCAGAAGCCATCGCCGACACCCTGAGCAGCTCCGTGAGACCGCCGAGCCACATGACGTCCGGCTGGATAATGTCCAGATTGCGGCCCTCGATGAGCTTGCGGAACCCAAAACGGGAGTACTCGTGCTCTCCCGTTGTGAACTTGATCGTCGGGTGTGCACGTTTGATCTGCTCAAAACCATCCGTGTCGTCGGGCGACAGACACTCCTCCCACCAGTTGATGTTCAGGTCTTCGCAGGCCTTAACAATCTCAATGGTGTATGGAACGTTGAGACTCATGTAGCAGTCAACCATGATGGGGAAATCGGGACCGACGCTCTCGCGATGCTTGCGCAGGAATTCGACGTTCTTCTTGAGACCGACATGGCCTTCCTCCGGGCAGTAGGGGAGAGGAACCTTGCCGCCCCAAAAGCCCATTTCCTTGGCCGCACTAGGCTCGGGACCGGTGCAGTAAAAGTCGAGACGCTCCTTGGTGGCACCCCCAATCAGTTTATATACGGGCTCATTCCTCAGCTTGCCGAGCAAGTCCCAGATGGCTAGATCGATGACGGAGATAACGGCAAGAGGGAGACCCTTTCGGCCGTAGAACATGGAGCCTCTGTACATCTGCTCGAACAATAGGTTCGTGTTGCGTGGGTCAGCACCCAGGAGAAAACGCTCGAAGTGTTGGTGGACGAGCCAGCAAGCTGGAGGGCCTGTGTGAACCGCCGTCAGCTACGTTGTCCCTTGATACGAGGGTCTGTCATGCAACATGCCTCCAAAACCAGTGGCAAGGCCGACGGTGCCGTCGGTCGCTTCAATCTCAATAAGGAAAGAGCCGAGAACGTTGATACCCCAGCTCGTTCTCGAGTTGCGGTACTGCTCCCAACGCGAACATGGAGTGGAGATGGGGCTGTCAATGAGCCTGTCCATTTCGCTTGTCAGTTTATGCTTCCCTGGTGGCTGCGGCGGTCTTGCTGCAGAGGCGCGGCAGTAACACATACCAGTGGCCGCCCTTGACGTTGTGGTAATCCCCGCCTGAGCCGACGCCCCCAATGACGAACGTCCGGATCTCCTTGATGGAGGGGAAAGATCTCACAGACGCCATTGTCCCGGTGTGAGTCTATGTCTGGTTTTCTTTGCGTGTGCCTGTGTGTCTGTACGTGTATGCGGGTGTCCTGGAGATAATACCACGGAAAAGGATGAGGATAGAATGGCACTGGGCGACAATGGAGAGCAAGCAAGGGGGAGTGTCTTTTAAGATAAAGCCGTGACCCGGATTTTCCCAGACACACGAGGCTCGTCAACGAGAGTAAAACAAGCACCGAATCAGGGGAAACGCAGCTGGTAAGCCGACCTCCTAGGTAGAACGAGCCTCTCGGCTTAGTGGGGAGGGGGCGGGGGTATTGACGAGACAGATTAGTTCGAGTTTGCGGTGGACGAGAAGCTTTTGGAGGTCGGTGTCAAATATCCCGAGACCAGCCTCGGAAGCCCAGTAAGGCATGTAGAAGAGCCTCCCCCCCCCCCCCCCCCACTTCCACATGCCGGGCTTCGGGGATGGAATGCCACTGATATTTGACCTTGTCTGCCTGCCTAGGTAGTGAGTGAGTGTGGTGCTGCGTGCAGGTAAGGCGATGCGGCGACCATCGTCGCCCTGGACCAATACAAGCACGATTCTCAAGCTCGGGGCTTCCCATCACGGGGAAGAAGAGGAAAACTCGAAGCTGAGCGACAACTGAAGCCCATGGCCTGCCACGCATTGATTGTTGGCTGGCGAATCTGCCAAGTGGCTGAATGCCTGGCTACCAGGTATCTACTTGGGTACAAAGTAGTGCCCTCCGGGCCATTCATGACCGACCCCATCCCCGACACTCCGCATTTCTGGTGGACCCCACCCAAGCGAATACGGGGATAGAAGGTCCGCCCCCCCGCACGCACATGAGGTGGAGACAGTGGGGTGACCCAGAGCACTTGGGTGTTGCCGTTGCCGTTGTTGTGTTGATCGGGAGTTGTGTTATCGGACCCGATCACCGGGGCGCGGCCATGATGCATGTGGTCCGTTACGGCCTACGAAGACTCAAGCCTCCCCGGATTTCCGAGAAAAGCCCATCGTCATGGAGATGGCACAGTGTGATGGTCCGCTTCTGATCACCGTATCTCAACAAGTGATTCCAAGGGGGGGGGGTTGTTTTGTTTTATTTTGTTTTCTTTCCCTTCATTTTTTCTTCCTTTTCTCTATCTATCTCCTTTTCTGGTTGTGGGCTTGAAACTAGTTTGCAGTCGCCGCGAAAGATATCATGTCACGACGAAGAACATGGGCGTGGTGAACATGGCGCGCTGTCGGATTACCTATCTAGCTATACATGGTGGTTTTACCCCTTCAAATATCGATACGGGTGAAGGGACATGTTTCGTTCATAAACTCCTCTCGTTCCAATAGAAGAAGTGAAAATATTGATTTCAAAAAACAAAACCAGCTCTTTACTGCGTGCGTAATTTGGAAAGATGCAGAATCGTATGCATGTACCTGGAATCGGGCCAAGCAGTGAGTGTACTGTAGTGTGCTGCGCGGGGCGCCGCACCTGCCTTACCTCGGATGGTCCTCTCCCTCGCTTCTCCGCATTCTCTATTCTCCACAACCCCCCCTCCTTGTGCGGGCAGCGGCCAAGACAGTCTCGTTACCTTCCATTCTTGCCTTCTTCCCCACACTATCCATTTTCATCCTGCCGCCCCCGTTTACAGTTGCTTCTTCTACTACCTAGACTACCTACCTAGGTGGGTAGGTAGGCATAACACAGTACCTATTGTCAATTCCTCTTGCAGCGTCTTCATCTCAAACTTGGACAACGCTCGATTCATAGGTACACAAAGTGGACGCGGGTCCAGCAACGAGAAGAAAGCACAGCAGTCAGTGCGGCCCCTTCTGCCTGACCACCGTCCGTCCTACATCCTCACCTGCCTGCCTACCTAAGGTATCTAATTCATAGTTTACCTAGGTAGGTATGAATCCGCACTTGATTAGAGTCCACCGCAGCCAGTCACTCTTTGGAGAGACAGCCATCCCACACTCACTGGCAGCTCGGCTCGATGCTCAAACTCGATTTAGCCTGTCTCCCATCTCATCGTCTCGTCCAATCCTAGGCTGGCTTGTTCTCTCCCCGCCTCCGCTTCCTCCTCTTTTTCCCCTTTCCCCCGCTCTTTAGCACCCCTGTCTGGTCCCCGTTCGCGGCACGTGTGGGACAGAAAAACAAGAATACCCCGAGCCCTTTCCCACTTGCACCCAGACCTTTCCCCCCTCTGCTCAACATTACCCCGAGGTTCCCAATCTTCTCCCGAATCCGCGCGTTGGCATCTCTCACAAACGCCAGCGACTCCAGCGCACTCGCTCGCTCTCCTAGCCCTCGCTCCCGGTGTCACTCTTCTCGGGCCGAGTCACCGAGTGCTCGCTATCTTCTGGGTGCTGCCCGCCGAGGATGCAGCACAACGGCCACTCCATCAGCAGTCGGTCACCGCCTGCACCTAATACAAAGTCTATCCAGCACCGGATTCAACCCCAGGATCATGACCAGAGCCAGACTTACAGTCAGGACGACCAGGACTCCGACGACGGTAACCAGCTGCAGAGCGCCGACGAGAACGACCTCGAGCAGGACGATCAGGATGCTACCCGTCTTGGGAAGCGCAAGAGACCCATATCTGTTTCGTACGTTATTCGGTTCTCTAGCACTGTACAATGTTGTCTAGTCCACCTCGTTCGACCCTACAATCCCTTCGCATGTCGCTCGACTCAACCCCGAACTTTAGCATCTACCACCCCTCCCCGTCCCTCGTTGCCTCTTATCTATCTGCCCTCTTGTTCCTGATACGTGCCCTGATGCTTCCTGCTTTTTTCCCCATGTCAGCATCTCCTGAGCCTGTGGCCCCCGAGCAGAATCCCGAGCAGAATCCCGATGCTAACAATCCTGTCCCAAGATGCGAGTTGTGCAAGCAGAGAAAGGTACTTTGGCTCTTTCTTGTTCATTTTCGTTCGCTGCTTATTTCCTTCTAAATGCCCCCCCGTTCTCTTTCTCTCTTTTTGGGGGGCCTGCCCTCCCCCCCCAAAATGATCTTTTATATATATCCTTCTCTGCCTTTCCGGTCTTAATCGCCTGTTACTCGTCATTGTCTTTGTTGTCGTCATCAAGCTTCCGGCCTTCTCTCAACGACTAGCCTGGCACTCAAAGCGCGCCCAGCTTCATCATATATATATGCAAGAACTGACCGGTCCGATGCAAATCTCAGGTGAAATGCGACCGCGGTCAGCCCTCGTGCGGTTGGTGTAGTCGCAATGGTGCACTGTGCGAGTACAAGGAACGTAAAAAGCCCGGCCTTCGCGCCGGCTACGGACGCGAGCTGGAGCAACGTTTGGACAAGCTTGAGGAGATCCTCAGGTCCCATGCCGAGATTCTCCAGGCCGCCTTGGCCTCTGGCCAGCACCACGGCACGGCAGCAAGCATACGGAATAGCAATCCAAGTCTGCCTAGCGACCAAGGCACCCCGCGGGAAACCAATGCCTTGTTTCGGCCGTCTGAGTCGATTCGGACCCCCCAAGCAGAGACAGCTCTGTTTCTTCAAAAGCCGTCCTCCTATCCGTCCAACACCCAGTCTATGGAGTTTGGAATGCCGCCCCCAACCCCATCCATGCATGAGTTTCAAGGGCAGATGCCCATGACCAGCATGCCCGCGCCTACTAGCCATATCTCTGCTATAGCGCACCCTAGCAGCGCAGCTCAGGAATACTATGGGACGAACCAAACTCAGCTTCACTCCCCGGATGTTGCCATGGCGCAGAGCCAGGCTTCAACAACATCCGACCAGGAGCTACCACCTTACGACCTGCTCTACGCCCTGGTCGACCTTTACTTCAAGCATATCAACACGTGGTGTCCTATCCTTCACAGGAAGACAACACTGGACTCTTTGTTCGGGCCTTCAACCCTGGAAGAGAGCGATCGCATCCTACTCCATGCCATCGTGGCGACGACGCTGCGGTATTCGACCGATTCGAGACTGACCGACGAGAGCAGGCAACACTATCACTCCATCTCCAAGCAAAGAGTCCTGCTCTACGGCATGGAAAACTCTTCAGTCAAAGCCCTGCAAGCCCTGGTGATTCTCGCCCTGGATTTGGTTGGAGATAGTAACGGCCCTCCCGGGTGGAACATCATGGCCTTGATTACGAGGTCTGTTGTGCAACTCGGGTTGGCTGTGGAGAGCACGTCCTTCTCGGTCTCGCCCAGCTTCACCTCCATCTATACCCTCCGGGCCATGATTCTGCCAGAGCCTAAGGACTTCATTGAGGAGGAGTCAAGACGGCGGCTTTTCTGGATGATTTATCTCCTGGATCGGTACGCCACACTGGCCACTGCGTTCGAATTTGCATTAGACGATAAGGAAATCGACAGAACACTACCGTGTCGAGATGACATATGGGTCAAAAACCAAAAGGTCGAGACACGGTGGTTCCGAACTCATGATAACCAGGAGGACATGAATCCAGAGTACGATATTAACAAGCCAGAGAACCTAGGAGCATTCTCCTACTATATAGAGATCCTGGCGATATTGTCCAAGATCCACAAGTTCTTGAAGCAGCCTGTTGACATCAGCGCTCTGAGCGACGTGGAGCAGTGGCAGATGCGGTACAAGGAGCTTGACAACATGCTTACTTCATGGAAGTTCGGTCTCCCCGGCGAATACGGCAACATGGCCAAGCTGTTCCAGCCCGGAAACAAGATGCTCAACTGTGGATGGGTGATGCTGCACGCCACCTATCACACAGCCGTTATACGGCTGCACTCCTCGGCCGCGTATCCCACCACTCGATCACCAATCTTTACGCCTTCATATAGCGCTTCGCAGCGTTGTCATGGCGCAGTCGAGAACATTGCAGCGCTGGGCGAGTTCGTCGTCAACAATGGGCTCTTGGCGAAGTTGGGCCCCCCCTTTGCCTTCACCCTCTGGGTGGCCTCGCGTTTGCTGCTCGTCCACGGCTCCACCGTAGAGCACAAGCTGTCTCCACAGATCCAGTTCTTCGTGGAGACGTTGCGAGAGATGGGGCATTACTGGCCGGTGGCAGCCCGCTACTGCATTCTTCTGCAACGCGTCCTCGACGAGCACCGGGATAGTGAGCGGCAAGGCGACGGTTTCACGCCCAGTTCGGTCAAGATACTGGCTGACATGCGGCGCACAGCTTTTGACCTCGATTTTCTGATTTCTCGCCAGCCACGTGCGAACGGTGTGCCCAGCTATAGTCGTCTACCAAGCGTTACGCCGGCGAGGACGCCGGCACCAAATGAGTTTGAATATTTGGACGTATTTGATTTCTTCAACGTACCGCGGTTGCCGGTAGGCAATGAGAATATTGCCGGCAGTCGGCCCGCCATGAATAACGTCAACGGGCAAAACGGAGCTTCGTCTGGCATAGAGGGCAGCAGTGGAAGCGGCAGTTCTCACGCGCCAGCTCAGCAAGGCAATGAGTTCAACATCACAAA